GGGCACGGGCAGGGGGAATGGGCACGGGCAGGGGGAATGGGCACGGACAAGGGCAATGGGCAGGGGCAATGGGCACGGGCAGGGGCAATGGGCACGGGCAGGGGCAATGGACACGGGCAGGGGCAATGGGCAGGGGCAATGGGCACGGGCAGGGGCAATGGGCACGGGCAGGGGCAATGGGCAGGGGCAATGGGCACGGGCAGGGGCAATGGACAGGGGCAATGGGGAATGGGCATGGGCAGGGGCAATGGGCACGGGCAGAGGGAATGGGCACAGTTATGTTGTATAGGGGCTTGGATGTAAGAGGGAAGAAGGCATTTTATTCACATGTCTGTATCTGAGTGTCTGATACTCCCATGCGTTTCTTCACATCTCTTGGAGGACAGGTAGAGCCTTCTGGGTGTCGTCTACACGGGGCCTTTCCTCGAGCTTCCCTGGCAAGGTGTGTTGGGCCACGAGTCCCTGTAACACCGTATGGCTCTCTCGCTGGGATTCTGAAGTATGTTATAGCCTTCCGTAGACACTTGACCTCTGTCAGATTTCCCAGGAGTCCGCTAACCCGGCTTCCTGTTCATTGCAGTGCTACCTTGCAGGCTGGTGTTTCAGCAGGCAGGCTTGGAAGTCACTGTGGGGTCAGTGTTTGATAATAAAAGATCCCTTCCAGCTCACACAGAGAACAAGGTCTCGCCATTTCTGTGCCAGCATTCTCTCAGGATTTCAGGAGTTTGTTGAATGTACATCCCTAGCTCTCTGTCTCATTCCTCATGTTAGGACTATATATATTTGCATTCCTTCCATTCTTGCTGTGATGAAAAGTAAATTTTAAAGTAATTCTGAATTCATCAGTCTTGTCCTGGGCCGTTCCTTTTTCTGCCATTAGCAGTTGTTAGGTTGAACGATCCGCCTCTGTAGAGGCGCCTCCTTGGGGACAATGGTTAAATGCGGGCTTTGTTTTGTGCTGCAGGCAGTAGCTGCGACTACGGATCCAGATGTACACAACAGATGTGACAGCCAGGCTGGCGTCCTTGGAGATGAAGGTCTGGAGCTGGGACCTCCGGTCACGGGTGTGAATGGGGGTCTGAACCAGGCTGCCCACCCCAAGAACATGACAACAGCTCAGAATGGCCATGGGCAGGGTGCCACGGCCACTTGTTCAGCCTCCAACCTGAAGGCCCCCAAAATGGTGACATCCTCAGCATGTCAGAATGGAAGCTGCAAAAGCAGCCAAAGCAGCGACCCGGAAGCCGCGGAAACCAGGCTCAGCCCTTCCAAGCTGGTGCGTCTTTTCTCGGGGAATCGGAAGAGGATGAACACCAACCCTGAGAGGCCCCGCTCGGTGGTCCTCGTGGGGAATTCTTCCACGTGGAATGCCCTGGCCTCCTTCCGTAAAATGGGATCTTTTAAAAGGTTGAAATCCTCTGTCCTACAAGGAATTCAGAACCGGGAGGGGGCAGATGTTTCCAAGGAAGAGCCAGCAGGAGACCCGGGAAGGGCTGCTCCCAATGGCACCATCAGCATCCTGGGAAAGGGCCTGGGCAGGTGCCCTTCCTTGGGGCCTGCAGGGGATGGGACCGGGTCTGACTGCTCGGACCCTGAGGACACAGAGGATGCCTTCCAGAGGAGCACGCACCGCTCACGCAGCATTCGCAGAGCCTATGGCCTGGGCCGCATCAGCCTGCTGGACCTGGGGCGGCAGGCAGCACCGGAGCCCACCCTGTGCGAGATTCACGTGAGCGACCCTGAGCCCATCCCTCTGCCGCGCAGAAGCAAGAGCATCGACAGCTTGAGCATCCTGAAGAGCTCCTTCAAGCGCAAGTCTGTGTCCAACCTCACGGAACTGACAGGCGACAGGCAGGTTCCCCCCAGGACCCTGAGCAGCTCATCCACTGACTCCGAGAAGCCAGGTGGTTCCCAGAGAAGGACCAGACGCTGGAGGAGCCCCATCAGGGCCAAGGACTTCGACAGGGTTTTAAGACTGGTGAGCACCGTCAAGGATGCAGCCTGGAAGAGGGAGGCCTCTAGGAGTATGCCTGCTAGCCCAGACCCTGGCCCAGGGGATGTGAACCCGCCACTGGAGTCACGCAGCAGGCTCCACGATGACTACTCACGCCGCACCAGCAGCAGCGCGGAGCCAGATGCCAGGCGTGGTGGCCCTTTATCCACACCCTGTATCCCTGCACCATGCGTGGCCACGCCCATCGTAGCTCAAGGACCCCACCTGGATGTGGACACGGCAGTCTTTCCCCTGGAAGCCAAAAGCGCGCAGGCCCTGGGGAATGATGAACCTAGTGCCAGTAGCCCATCACCAAGTCTCACAGACCCAGAAGGGTCGAGCCAAGCCTCCAGTGAGGCAACTGCTGGCAGCCAGCTTCCCTTGGACCCTGCACAGCTTCCCACCCCTCTGAGGCCCACCACGCCCAAACCCCAAAGCCCTCAGAGCCCAGGGAGTACTAAATGCCCCAGCCTAAGCGTGCTGTCCCTCAGCTCAGCAGACAGTGAAGAAAGGACTGAGGATGCTGCCCATAGGCAGCCAGGACCAGTGTCCCTCCAGGATGCCGGAGGCACCGCGGCTGGTGGTGAGGGAGGAAAAAGTAGTGACAGCTGTTTGCCCGCGACTCTCGATGGGGCCGCCAATCCGGAAGAGAGGAAGGAGGAGGTAAGGGTCCAGGTGGAGTCCCTCTGGTTGGTGCCAGTGTCAGGAGAGCTACTTCATAGTATTGCTCGGCCATTCTCCCAGGGATTTCCGAAGGCTACTGGTTCTGTCTGTGCCGAGTAATCACGCTGAATTTTTGCCGAGATGGAAGTTGTTGAATTAATCTAGTCGTGGAGTGCTTTCCCGTGCGCCTCTGTGGTAGGTGCTTACTTGGCAGGTACAAGGTCCCAGGTTTGATCCCCAGCACCACACTTCCCCCGAAAGGGAAACTCTAGCTCCCGTAAATTGAATTGCCAATGAATAGGATTCGTTAGTGTGGCATTTACTTATTGAAAAGATATTTGCTGAGTATCTCCTGTGCGCTGCTAGGTTCTGGAGGTAAGGAATGAATGCGGCCATTCGAGTGTCTCAAAGTTCTCACACTTTGAGACAATGTTATAACTCGTATCATCTGTGTATTTTAAATCGTTGCCGTATCCTTTCCAACAGGGTCCTTGCAGATGCAGCTCTTTGTGATAGGGAACATTCCGTGTCTTGAGTCTTTTATTTCCTAGGAATGAATTAGAGATGCACAGCTCGGTACCTGTCAAGCCCAGGATGATGCATCTTCCAAGGGATTTTAATGATGGCCGTTGTACGTATTTTTAGGGTAGAGCTCCAAGCAGCTCCCGGATCGAGTCAGCACACAGCTGTCAGAGCTACGAGCGCAGTGTTCCTTTCACATCCTGTCAAGCATCCAGGCAATTGTACTTCACTGTGCAAATCTTACTTTATAAGAACACTCAGTGATATTTCCTTACATAGCTTAAGACAGAAGTGTGTCTATGTGTGTATATTGTAAATTGTTCTTTGCACATGTTCCTAGCCTATGCCACAGCTGTGAATTGGTGCTTGGGATAGGGAGTTACCCCTTAGGAAATGTTCCCTCCTGCTAAGTCCTGGAGAGGTCCAGCAGATGAATGGTTGCACAGCTGGTTGGGTTTGCAAGCAGAAGCCAGGGCAGCCTGTAGACTAGCTGTTATAAATTTACTGAGATGAGGTCTTGCTCCATAGCCCAGACTGGCCTCAAGGTCACAGCCCCAGGTGCTACCACACTTCCATACCTGGCAAATACCTATTTTTGACCTTTGCTGTCCAGAAACTGAGCTTTAGCTTTGGACCTTTGGAGGACACTGAACTTCCAAATTGGCCTTTGTGAGACATCCTCAAGCAGACACTCCTGCCCCATTTTCTGGAGGCCCACCACTCTAGTAAAGGATTTTCGTAAGTGTAGCCGGTTCTGTATGTTAAAGGTAGGATTCTGAGGCTGAGGTAGATTGATTCCTTCCCATGCTGAGTGTGATCTCCAGGACTATATAATCCCAGTATGGTATCTCCTGCCCTGTAATCTCTATAAAAAGGAGCTGGGATCAGCAGGGGGGTTGGAGGGGTGTCCGGCTATGCTGCTGTCATTTGCAAAACACAACCTCATCCTACCACCTGGTGGTGAGTCTTGGTAAAGAACAGTGCTGGGTTCGACATGACCCTAAAAATTATTCCTTCTTTTAAAAATGCCATTCAGAAGCTGAGTGTACTGACACAGCTCTGTAACCACAGAGGGGCAGAGGCAGGAGGATTTCGAGTTCAAGGCCAACCAGAGCTGCCTAGTAAGCTCTGTCTTAAAAAGACACACATAGACTTACACACAAACACACGCACATTCAAGACCCAGGGCGGTCACTCTCTGGTAGAGTTCCTCCCCAGCACTTGCCAGACCGTCAGTTCCACCCTTGAACTTTGGAGATGGAGGCCTTCTGACATTTATTTGTTAACAGTGTTTCTCCTTCCCTAGAACAGTGCAGGATCCATAGTTCACGGTATTAGTATGGAATTTACAAAAGGAACACTGTCTTTCTACCTGTCTGCAGGGTGGAACCATTGACTATAAGTAATGAGCGCGCCAGCTCTGAGCCCTCTCCAGAGCTGGGGTGAATCTTTTGTAAATGCTTGTAGTTTGTGCCATTCAGGTATCTTGGCAAACTGGGGAGTCTTGAACTTCTCTGGGTCTCTGTTGTTCCTAAGTATGGAGTGACCTGATAGAATTGTGGAAGCCACATAGTCTCTTATTTAAATGTTTACCTAACATCTCAACAGTTTCAAGATGATCATTTTAAGTATGTGTATGTCATACATGTATGTATGAGACAACATGTATGTCTGTATACCCTGTATGTGTCTAGTGTCTGAGGAAGCCTAAGGAGAACATTGAATCTCCTGAAACGGGAGTTATGGATGGTTGTGAGTTGCCATATGGGTGCTGGAAATCGAACTGAGGTCCTTTGGTCTTCCAAAAGAGAAATAAGTTCTCTTAACCACTGAGCCATCTCTCCAGCCACGCTCCCTCAAATCTTTTTGTATATAACACTGCATTATACTTGGGCAAGAAGTTGAGAAATTCTTCCAATAATTAGATTGGTTGCACATTAATATTTTAAATGAGACAGTATCTAATTTAGTTCAGGCTGACCTTGAACTCTCTATAAAACCTTGAACTTCTGACCCTCCTGCTTCTGCCTCCCAAGTGCTGGGATGACAGTGGGAACCACTGTTCCTGTGTGTGTGCTGCTAGTAACCAAAGCTGACAGCTTCATTCATACGAGGCAAGCTCTCTGCTGCTGCCACCTCAGGCCTTTTATATCCTAACCGTGTGGTATTTCATTCAGTGACCTCACCAAACCCAGTGTGTTTTAAATCTACCAGATGCAAGAGACTGAAGTCACATAAAGCCTGGTAAGGCTTACCAATGGCTACAAGGTATATGTGAGGGTTATCTAGCATGGAATAAATCCCACAAAAGACATAATGACAATATAAAGAAGAGTCATGGTTCTCACCCATTTGTATAAAATTGGTCCCAGTAGTATCAGATTTGATAAGGGTGACCACACTTGGCGGACAGGAGTGGAGTTCCAGAAGGTGTACTTGTCTGGGTAGGTGATGCAGATCCCTGTTACTGTAAAGAGCGAGGAGGGGTGTCACTTGGTTTGATGTAGTAGAGCCATCCAGCCGCAGATGCCATAGTTGTGGTCAGGTCACCCACACTCCCAGCCCCCATGCAGAGACGCTGTTACCTGGTGAGTGCTGAGGAACCAGGAACGTGTACAGAGAGACAAGCCAGGCTCCGAGCTCTGGAGATGAGATTTAGAAGGAAAAGCCCCAGAAGGAAAGTTGCCAGTTTATATAAGAATATCCTGAAGGTGGTAAGCTGAGGTGAGAGTGGACAGGAACTAAGGTGCGCTGAGGTTAACCTGGACCTGTCACACAAGCTGCTGTGTGGTTAGCCCGGGCTGACCAGTCCCTCCACACAGGCTGCTGCGAAGGTAAGTGGGGTCACACACCTGACCTCCTGTGTCTGTCAGAGGCTTGCTTGCGCCTGGCGGTGCCAGGTGGCTGAACTGCTGTGTGCTTGGGGAACTGCAGATGGGCTAACTTTTGTGCAGGTGGATGGGTGGAGAAATGGCAGATAAGGTTGGTCAATAGGTCTGGATATGATTAGAGAGGACCTGGCTTGGAGCAATAGACATGTCCCTTACCCTGCAGGCATTGAGGAGTCAGGAGGAGCATGAGCAGAGACAGCAGGGGGACCTGTGGAATCAGGCTTCACTGACCCAGCTTTGTAGAGAAGTGGTAGCCCTCCTGAGTCTAATCCTGCGTGGAGAGGAGGAGGAAAACAGACTGCAAAGTCATTTATCAGTTTCTATGTGCCATGAGTCTGTGTGAGTGTTTATGGGGACAGACGGTCGGTGGCCTTTTGGCGCCACATGGGAAGTACTTTGTGTTGGCATGCCAGCCATCAAACAAGCCACGAACCTCGCAGACGGGGAAGCAAAAGGAAGGACCTCTTGAACACTAAGTACGCTGCTGCTAACATAAAATGTCCCTCCCACTTAGAGCAGTAGAATTGTCCAGCAGGAAAACGGTGAATCCGGGCCAGCTTTCAGTGCGAAAGAACGACGCTAGGGTCTTCTGATGCTGCTGCGGCTGCGCAGTTCAGCGGAGGTGCACGGGACCCTGGCAAATCCGGCGATGTTGCTTCTGGGAGATTTTGATGGATTAGAAGTTATTTCACACAACCATTCCTACAGCCAGGAAAATGTTACATCCACAGAAATGAACGTAGCTGGGCATGCATGAAGCTCTCGGTTCATCCCCAGAGCCTGTGAACAGGCATGGAGGTGCACCACGTGGGAGGTGATCTGTTGCTGCTTACCGAGTTTAAGACCAGCCCGAACTACATACGACCCAATAAAGGGAAGAAAGGAAGGAAAGAAGGCAGGAAGGAAGCAAGCAAGGAAGCCGGCTAGTGAGATGGCTCAGCAGGCATTGGCACTTCTCACCAAGCTCACCTGAGTTCTACCCCCAGAATCCTCATGGTGGAAGGAGAGAACCAGTTCCCACTGGTTGCCCTCTGACCTCCACATTTGGGCCCCAGTACTCCTGTGTATACGCACATGCATACAAATAGATAAGAAAAAAAGAAAAAAAGAAAGAAAATCTGTTTAAAAAGAAAACAAAGGGAGAAATGTATTGATCCCAGAAAATCTGCTCAGGATTGACTTAGGCACCTTATGGAGGTGGAATAGGAAGCTTACAGCTGGGTGGCTTTTAGGGGACGGGCAGCTGCTGTAACAGTCCAGACTTCCCCCAGGCCTATTTGGTCACTGTGTGTTCACAGTCCAAATGGGGCAGCTGCTGACTGGATTTGTGTCTCTGTGCCTTTCTAGTCCTGTGCCATAGCCACTGGACCATCCCAACCCCTTGTCGTGGTTTTGTTTGTTCGCTGGGTTTTTTTTTTTTTTTTTTTTTTTTTTTTTTTTTTTCGAGACAGGGTTTTTCTGTGGTTTTGGAGCCTGTGCTGGTCTCGAACTCACAGGGATACACACACACACACACACACACACACACACACACACACACACACACGAAGATCATTTAATTTTTTTTTTTTGTTCTTCTTGTTTTTT